TAGGAAATTTAAAAGTCATTTCCAGCTCAGCTCTAAAATATTGGCCAGAAATGGCTCTTTATGAGTGTAATGTCTAGAAAATTGTTATCAATAATTCACAAACGACTGAAAGTCATGGAAATGTATTGGTCAAATGGCAATACATTTTTTGACCTGGGTTATTTTATTTACTTAATTTTATTTTACTTTTATTTGACCCTCTAACTCTAACACTTTCTATTCTATTTTAATTCTACTTTATCTATATTTATCTTTTTTTATTTATTTTTATTTAAGAACAAAAAACAAACAAACACTAGCTTTCTATATTTTCTATTCTATCTACTTGTTTTTCTTTGTGTGTACTACGTTAGGCTAACTTTTTGAGATTTGTCATTTGCACTTATATATTGTTGCTCTTCTGTTAGTTTTGACTGCTTTTATTGTCCTTATTTGTAAGTCGCTTTGGATAAAAGCGTCTGCTAAATGACTAAATGTAAATTTAGAGTTACAGTCGTATGTGTGTGTTTTTACATATACTTATTTATCTATTATTTATAAATTTAATTTTATATAAATAGATCAATAAAAATGTAACCAGTCTGTAAGGTTAGTTCCCCCCGCCCCCCTTATTTATTTTTTCATTCTTAAAGGTGCTGTCCAGTTGTAAAAAACTATAAAGAACTAAAAACTAACAATACTATAAAAGTGCTTTCATTATATGGGGAAAAACTTCAGAAATTCTTGAAAAACGCATGGGTTGAGAATGACATATGGGTGAGTAATGACTCTTAATCTGAATGAGACAATAGGGCTCAGTAAAATCACAATTGAATGATGCTTTCCTATCTTTCTCAGGGGTTTTGGCAGCAGCAGGTGTGTTGCTGCAGTCCTTCAGTGCCTCTACTGTCAGCAGTGCTGAGCAGTGGTACTGCATGGGTATATCTTCACTGCTGGGGGACATCGGTGCCCTGAAGTCCTTAGCGAAAGAGGCTGCACAGCTCACGGTCTGAATATCTGTCAGTGATCCTGATGGGAAACACTTAACATTCCAGCAGCTTTAGCTCTAGCCTGACTGAATTTCATTGCTCACTGTTACTCACATCGTTCATAACACTACAATTCCTAAAACAACTGTGTGGAAAAATAGTCCTATTTTTACTTTTTGTTGTTAGGGTTTACTAAAACCACTGTATTCCAAATGAAAGTGTTTGATTAAAATAACAACGGTCAGTGCTTTGCAGTGGAGTTTGTCTCTTTTCATCATACTAAAGGGTTGCCATTGGATCCTTTGTATAAAAATGACAAATAGCTAATGCCAATGTCCTGCTAAATAATATAGAAATTTACTGAACACTAACAGATGTGTTTTTCTGTGTTTCAAACTTCTTGCTAATATGCATTAACAAATAGCATTTTGCTTTTAGTCTTTTTTTCTTTCTATATATATATATATATATATATATATATATATATAAACCACTGTATTCCAAATGAAAGTGTTTGATTAAAATAACAACGGTCAGTGCTTTGCAGTGGAGTTTGTCTCTTTTCATCATACTAAAGGGTTGCCGTTGGATCCTTTGTATAAAAATGACAAATAGCTAATGCCAATGTCCTGCTAAATAATATAGAAATTTACTGAACACTAACAGATGTGTTTTTCTGCGTTTCAAACTTCTTGCTAATATGCATTAACAAATAGCATTTTGCTTTTAGTATTTTTTTCTTTCTATATATATATATATATATAGAGAGAGAGAGAGAGAGAGATTTTATTTGTTAATGTATTGTCAAAGTCTTTTTATACCACATTTTATGTTTTATATACACTGCCGTTCAAAAGTTTGGGATCAGTAATCAGTGGCGGCTGGTCGGGGGAGGCATGGGAGGCACAGCTTCCCCATAATTTTGAGGTGAAAATGGGAGGAGGACGATTTAAGGTTAATAAAATGCACAATTTATTTCAGTTCATGTCTCAGAATGTGTATTTGTTGTTTGTAATTTCACAGTTTTACCATAACGTGAAAGCACCGCTTTTCTATCGCGAATGTGCCGAATCTGCTTTTGTAATTACAACCGCTAGGTGATCGAGAAGGAGAGGGGGAGGCCGGGGGAGAGATGAGCTCTCGTGCCTCCGTTGGTAAAAAGAAATTAGCCAATCAGCATCGAGTGTTCACTTTCAGCGCTGAGGAGTGTTGAGAAAAAAAAACCCTTGTAAGGGAGGCTAGCCTCCTTCTGATATCAACCAATCACAACAGATTTACCAAGCTGTCATTCAAACAGTATATATACAAATTTAGGGAAAACAGCCTAAGCTGGATATAGGCAGTCGGCTTAATTAAATGGCACAACAGGCAGTGCTCTTTTAAGAAGGGATGGATGTTTGCTTCAAGTGATAGGCCAGGTAAGTGAAATTATATTATCTTGCTGTATGTATGTCGTTTTCTGACTAAAAGCAACCAAAAAGCCATTTTAAAGTGGTTAAGCAAATAATACGAATAATCGTCGGGGATCCCAGACCAATACAATTAGTGTGCCTCCTCTATTTTAAAACCCACGAACTGCCACTGTCAGTACGATTTGTAATGTTTTTTTTAAAGAAGTCTTTTCTGCTCATCAAGGCTGCATTTATTTGATCAGAAATATAACATTAATATTGTGAAATATTATTACAATTTAAAATAGCTGTTTTCTATTTGAATATCTTTTAAAATGTAATTTATTCTTGTGATCAAAGCTGAATTTTCAGCATCATTACTCCAGTCTTCAGCGTCTCACGTGATCCTTCAGAATCATTCTGTACGATTTGTAATGTTTTTTTAAAGAAGTCTTTTCTGCTCATCAAGGCTGCATTTATTTGATCAGAAATATAACATTAATATTGTGAAATGTTATTACAATTTAAAATAACTTTTCTATTTGAATATATTTTAAAATGCAGTTTATTCCTGTGATCAAAGCTGAATTTTCAGCATCATTACTCCAGTCTTCAGCGTCTCACGTGATCCTTCAGAATCATTCTAATAGGCTATGCTGATTTATTATCAATATTGGGAACAGTTTTGCTGCTTAATATTTTTTTGGAACCTGTGATAATTTTTTTTAGGATTCTTTGATGAACAAAAGTTTAAAAATAACAGCACTTACTCAAAATGGAAATGTTTTGTAAAAATATACACTGCTGTTAAAAAGTTTGTGGTCAGTATATTCTTCCCTTTTTCTTTTCTTTTTCCCCCTTTTTTTTTTTTGAAAGGAATGATTTTATTTAGCATGGATGTTAAATTGAGAAACAAAAAAGTGATAAAGACTTGTTACTTTTGTTTAATATTGTTAGAAAGGATTTCTATTTTAAATAAACGCTGTTCTTTTTAACTTTATTCATCAAATAATCCTGAACAAAGTATCGCAGGTTTCAAAAAAATTAACTGTTTCCAATATTGATAATAAATCAGCATATTAGAATGATTTCTGAAAGATCATGTGACACTGAAGACTGCAGTAATGGCTAGAAATTCAGCGTTGATCACAGAAATATATGATATTTTAAAGTATATTAAAATAGAAAACCATTATTTTAAATGGCAATAATATTTTACAATATTACAAATTTTTCTGTAGATTTGGTCAAATAAATGTAGCCATGATGAACAGAAGAGACTTCTGTGAAACACATTTTAACACATCGTACTGATCCCAAACTTTTAAACAGCGGTGTATTACATATATATGACAAAAAATATTTTGGCTCCTTTTAATTCCCAAAACAAGTGTGCGTGCGTGTGTGTGTGTGTTTAAAATCATACTTGGCCCTTTTACCACATACTTGCTGTTGCTGTTTCTCTTCAGATGCATAGATATGTAAATGATGGATACTTCTGCTTATGAACACATGACAAAAATTTGAACAGAGTTCATCCACTTTCAAAACACTTTAGTTTCATGACCTTGTCCACAAGGCTGTTACCTTTCATAAGGCATAAATACATCCCAACAACCACACGACCTTTCCATAGCATTTAAAATCCTGTCCATGTAAGGTTTCCTGAATGTTGCAGAAAGTCTTTATCTGATAAGATCTTACGGTGCATTTTCTAATGGCCAGTGTTGGGGGTAACGCATTACAAGTAACGCGAGTTACGTAATCAGATTACTTTTTTCAAGTAACTAGTAAAGTAACGCATTACTTTTTAATTTACCAGAGAATATCTGAGTTACTTTTTCAAATAAGTAACGCAAGTTACTTTTTTTTCCAATTTATTGATTGACAGCTCTCCTGTCCCCATGTTGAGAGAAATCAGAAGATGTTACTGTAGTTCTAAAATAAATATGAATATGCATTAATTCATCTCACTCAAAAAAAAAAAAACTGATTCAGTATAAAAAAATGCTCAGAATATGATGCAAACCTGCAATAATTAAATGTTAAACAACACAAATATCCTTTATGTATTTAATCCCATTCTATTTGCTTCTGCCCTTTACTTTCCCTTCAGCCTGAGGCGCATTCATTTCACTTTTGGTGTGAAAAGGTTTTTATATATTTGCCAAAAATATAACTTTTTTATTTTAAAAACAAAAGCAAGCCCGGTCCAGATTTAAAAAGTAACGCAAAAGTAACGTAACGCATTACTTTCCACAAAAAGTAACGGTAATTAGTTACTTTTTTCACGGAGTAACGCAATATTGCAATGCATTACTTTTAAAAGCAACTTTCCCCAACACTGCTAATGGTTATTATTATTTTTTTTTTTAGCATTTATTTCCCTTCTGACCTTTTTGTTCCAAGAACGTTCCAGGGAACCAAACACTGCTAGCAAACATTAACATGTTTAGCTATCTCGAGATTGCAGAATGCATTCAATTTAAAAACTTGAAATTAGTAGCACTTAAACATTATTAATGGGAAGTCACTTCAGAGAAATACACTTTAAAAATCGCCTCAATCAAACGGGACCAGGCGCTCGCTTCATCGACTGACCCCCTCACACTGTTTCCATGGTAACCGTGAGTTATTTCTGTCCTTTTACTGTACCCTGTGGACTTAACGGCAACTACACACCAATAATTCACCGTCGCTAAGCTATAAACAAACGCTCTTGTGTTCAGGAAACGGTGAAGCTTTAGAATGGATTAATTCTTGGTGTTTCGGCCCCCCTTGGTACGGTTTCCCTCAGGCGTTATTATGCAACGGCTTTAATCCTTATTAGGATTATTCGCTGGACACTGCCATGACAACTAAAACGTGAAAACTGGTGTTATTTATGTCTCAGTTGATTGAAAAAGCAAACTTAGGCTTTTTTTAAACATGTATTTATGAAGATGGGATGCTAACATACTGGTTTGGTCACATGGCTGGAGGACGTGTTGAATCAGTAACGTTAGTGGAGGGTGACAGCAGCGAGGCTCCTGCTATAATACACAGATACCAAAATAGGAGCTCGACATTCTCCAGAGGCTGACACTAAATACAGGGGCCACATGTCTGATCTGTCCGAGCACAAGCCGCACTGCTGGGGATAAAACTTCTACGAAGAAAGGACGAGCTGTGTCAATCAGTCATTAGACGGGTCAGGTAAGCTTGTTTTTACATAGGGGCTAGTTGTCACAAACGCTATTACCAGTAACTAACTAGTTTTGGGGCCTGAGTTAAAATGCACTGTTTGTTTTCATCATTAGCTGTGTTTTTGTCGGTTGGTTGCAAAAACCAAGGTTAAAACAGGGTTATTATCAAAACTAAAACCATAGAAACAATATAAATAATATATTGAATGTATTTATATATATATATATGTGTATGTGTGTGGCTGTACATACACATGTAAGTTAGTTGTTTTTTGGTGTTTGGCTTAGTGTTATGTTAGAATCATTATTATACTCATACCTTTTGTTCTTTTAATATTTTGAATTGTTTTTAGCTTTATTTTTTTGTTTTCATTTAAATTTTTAGTTTTAAAATGTTGTATGCATTTGTCATTTTTATTTATTTTATTTTATTAAATGTGTGTGTGTATATATATATATATATATATATAGAGTTTTAATTACTTTTTCTTATTTGTAAGTCGCTTGGATAAAAGCGTCTGCTAGATGACTAAAAGGTAAAAGGTAAAGAAACGTCTTCGCTACTTGAAAGGAAATAAACGTTATTAAATATATACAAATACTTATTTAATTTCAGTTAGTTGCCAAGGCATTTCTCATGTTCACTTTATGTACCAATATAACACTAAAATAATACACATATTTAGACATGTATTTAAAGCAATAAAAAATCAAATGACCAAAAAAAATTACTAAAACTTTTAACAAAAATGAAAACGGAAAGCTATTTCAAAGCATTAAAAACTTGAATAGTATTTTAGTGATGCTAAATAACACTGGTTTAAAATAGTCTTACATTAGGTTAAATTTTGTGCTCAAAATAAATATATTTGTGTAAAACGTGTTAGGTAAACAAACCCAGTAAAAACAAAATTATATATAGAAAAACTACTGTGCCAAAACTGTTTCATATTTTGTTACCATTTACATTTAGCATTTTTTTGGTCGTGTAAAATTGTTTTACGGTTTACATTTTGCTAAAAATGCATTTAATGCCCAGTGTGACAACTTGCCCCATATGATGTGACAACATAAGTCAACATTTGTGAAGATATACAACCAGGTTTGTGTCCATACAAAAAGTTCAAAAATAATATTTACTGGAATAAATATGATAAAAATGGTGTCTAAAATATGAATTTGGTTTTACCTGCATTAGTTCTGGCTTTGTTGCTATCGTATTGTCATAGACAGTAAACAAAATATCCTAGAGCTGAGCATAACTAGAAGCATTTATATATATAGATATATAGATATATATATGTATGTTTGTGTGTGTGTGTATATATATATATATATATATGTACTATTAATTTATTACATTTCTACAACTTAAATGCATTTTCCTTGATGATAATTTTGTAATATAGCTTTTTTTGTAAGGACACTTGAAAACTCATTTGAAAATCTCTTTCCAGTTGCAATGTCAGGAAAAGCTCAAAGCGGTTACTCCTACGAGTTCTGCGATGCCTCTCACTCCTCTGAGGTGCTGGAAGCTCTTCATGAGTTTCACAGCAGCGGTCTGTTCACAGACGTCACCCTGCAGTCTTCATCCGGACAGCTCTTCCACTGCCACAAGGCTGTCCTATCAGCCCGCAGCTCCTATTTCAAGGTAATGTTCACCTTAGACATGAGAGAACGTTTGAACGACACCATCAACCTACCTTGCATAAACGGAGAGATTCTGGGTGCTTTGGTGAGCTACGTCTACACGTCAAAGATCAGCATAACCCAGAACAACGTCCAAAGTCTTCTTGAAGCCGCAGACCTGTTGCAGTTCAACTCGCTCAAGAAAGCCTGCGAGAGCTTCTTGATTCATCTGCTGGACGTCGATAACTGCCTCGGGATGCACTCGTTTGCTGAGCTTCACGTGTGCTCTGATTTGCAGCACGAGGCTTTGAGGATCATACTGAGCCGCTTTGAAGAACTCACACTTCAGGAGGAGTTCCTAGAGGTGGATTTCCAAAAGCTCATGGGGATTTTAGAAACGGAGAACATTAATGTGTGGAAAGAAGTGACTTTATTGGATGCAGTGGTCAAATGGGTCGCCCATGACACGGCTCCTCGAATAGACCACCTTCAAGAGCTTCTCAAATGCATCCATCTCGAAGTGGATGATGCTTGCCTCAAAACTGCTTTGGATCTACGCAAAGGTTGCTCTGAAAACAAATTGCGATCTCTGATTCGTGCCTCCTTAAAGCCGAGCAAAGGTTTCTCACAGTGCTGCAAAAAACTAACGTGCAGCTTGTATGTTATTGGTGGATATTACTGGCATCCGTTGTGTGAAGTCCACATGTGGGACCCTGTTTCCAACACATGGGTTCAGGGCAAAGACATGCCTGATTTTGAAAGAGAGAGTTATAGCGTGGCACTTCTAGGCCCTCATATCTATGTGACAGGAGGATACAGGACACAGACTGTGGATGCTTTAGATACCGTGTGGATTTATAACACAGACTCGGATGAATGGACAGAAGGATGTCCCATGATCACAGCCAGATACTACCACTGCTCCGTGGCTTTACGTGGATGCATATACGTCATTGGTGGATATACGACAGGAGCTCCTACTCAAGAAACTGAAGTCTATGATCCTTTGAAGAGGAGATGGTTTCCTGTGGCTGATATGATACAAGGTATGAGAATTTCAGTTTATTTACACACATCTATTGGATTGGTTGCCTGAATGAGGAGTTCGGAGTTATTTTTTTGAGGCCATGGTGCTGGAAGTATTTTTCCCTATTCTTTTTAGGGATTTCAAAAAAATACTTCAGTTAAGAGGCATTTACCAAATCTACCAGATCCAAGATGAATGGCAACATCACAACATTTCATTTTAAGCAAGAAAAAAAAAAAAGACTGTAAAAAGGAACACGATTTTGTACTTAAATGTTGTCATGTCATTTGCAATGATTGATCTGTTACATACTAAAAATCACAAACCATGGTAAAACATTCTAATTAATTTTTTTTTTTTTAAAGTCTGAAACAGCATTTTAAATGCATGGAGAAATATTCAGACAGATATATAAACTACTGAGGTCAGTAATATTTTTACTTGTATACCTAAAAATATATAGAAGATAATTTTTTTTGGCCATTTCGCCCAGCCCTACTGAAAATTCAGCATTGCATCACAGGAATAAATTACTTTTTAAAATATATTCAAATAGAAAGCTGTTATTTAAAGTTGTATTAATTTTTAAAAATATTGTTGTTTTTACTGCATCAAATGAATATGGCCATGGTGAGCACAATAGACTTTTTTTCAAAATTAAAATCTAATGCGTAGTGCAGTTCTTCACTAGGATTTCAGCTTTTTAAAAAGTCAGAAAATCTTACACATAAAAACTTTAAAATATTGTAGATCTAATATGCCTGTTGATGGAAGTTCAGCGTCTTTCTGTTTTGACTTTAAAGGCGTGGGAAATGCAACCGCTTGTGTGGTGAATGACAGAGTCTATGTAACCGGAGGGCATTATGGGTACAGAGGAACCTGCACTTACGAGAAGATTCAGACTTACCGGCCAGATATCAATGAGTGGAGCATCACAACGATATGTCCACATCCTGGTGAGCCACCTACATTTTGTATTCGATAAGCTAAATGGTTTGGAAATGAGCCCAGATGGTTTCTCTTTCTTCACTATCGCTTGTGATTTGAAAAGCTCATCAAAACTCTTTACTTTCAGAGTATGGCCTTTGCTCGGTCTCCTTGAACAATAAGCTTTATCTGGTCGGCGGTCAGACCACCATCACAGACTGTTACGATCCCGAGAGAGATGAATGGAGGCAGATGTGTGCGATGAAGGAGAGAAGGATGGAATGCGGCTCAGCTGTTATAAAAGGGGGCATCTATGTAGCAGGTGGGTATTCATACTCTAAAGGGACATATCTGCAAAGTATAGAGAGGTACGACCCTGAGATAGACTGCTGGGAGATAGTGGGAAACCTCCCATCGGCTGCACGCTCACACGGCTGCGTTTGTGTGTTCAGCGTGTGAAATCACAGCACAATCACTGTCTGTGGAGCCACATCCAGTGGGGTCTAAATGTCTGAGACATTTTATTTAAACATAGTTCAATCATGGCAACTCTCGGAACATTTTTTGCATGGTGATGGATATGAAAATGTTAATGTATTTGGTCTTGGCGGAACAGATCTGCTATGCTGCTGCTGTTGGTTATTGCTGTAGTTGTAGATTATTGCTGCTGCTGCTGCAAGCAAGTACAGGAACTTGCTACTGCCAATGCATATGGCGATACGGTGACTGAACTATATATAAATAAAGTGTTAGAGCAAATGTTGTACTATAAATTTAGCATTATATTAAATACATTGTGCAGTCATTTGTCAATATTCATCGGTAAAAACAGTGCAGATCCGCTCTCACATTTTCACTAAACTTGTGGCTGTATTGACTGCTGCTCCAAACGCCATGAAAAACACTCTGATTATCAATTTTATATTAAAACAAAATTAGGGTAATAGTATGGAAATATTTTCCCATGCTTATCCAGACCTGGAAATGACTAAAATCTAATTCCATACACTCTTAAAAATAAAGGTGCTTCACGATGCCATAGAAAAACCTTTTTTTCTAAATGGTTCCATAAAGAACCTTTAACATCTGAAGAACCTTTCTGTTTCACAAAAGCTTCTTTGTGGCGAAAGAAGGTTCTTCAGATTATAAAAAGGTAAGAAAGAGATGGTTCTTTAAAGAACCTTTGACTGAATGGTTCTTTGTTGAACCAAAAATGGTTCTTCTGTGGCATCGCTTGAAGAACCTTTTGAAGCACCTTTATTTTTAAGAGTGTACTGCATAATTCTTACATGCAAATGCAAATTAATGCAAATTTCTTACATGGATCATGTGACTCTTTGTATTGATGGTCAGATGTTCATCCATTGCTCTTTGGATCATCTCAAATCATGCTGGAGAACATGATCATCAGGTTTTGGTTTCACATCAGCTCCAAAAGGGAGACAAACCAACAAGAATTCTTCATTTTCAGTTCAATTAATCACTTGAATTGTTATCCTGAAAATCTCAGACGTTTGGACCCCGCGATATATAATTCTAAACTTGTGAGTGTGATGTCAATATGATATTATATTTGTTCAACACGTGAAGTCACTGATTGTCTGTTATCTCTGCTGGAAGATAAAGGGCTGTTTCTAAATATATACTGAACAGCACAATAGATTACAGCACTTCACTTTTTGCACAGTACCTTTTTGAAGACTAATGTTTTGCAGCAAAAAAACTAAACTGTTCTGGTGTTTTACATCAAGAAATGTATTTATTCCTTAGTATTATTAATATTTATTTGGATGATTTTGTATTTGTAATATAGTTGTGAACCCAGGATTTTACTATAAATATGTGATGTGTATTGTGTAATTTATTGTTTATAGTTATTGTGATGTTTTATCAACTGTGTATGCTGCCAAAAATGTGAAAAGCACAAATTTAAATAAAGTTCCAACAAACGTGTTTGTAAATCCTACATAGACGCTAGTATTTCTGTGGTATCCACCCAAAAATGATGCAGTATGGTTATTTAGAAAAGGTATTTTGAGGAACAGTGTATTTTTATCCATAAAATAATACAAAAATTTTGCAAAGCAACACAAACTCCTTTTTGCCCAACATGTTTATGTTGGAGTGAATCGTATGAAGTCCACTTGAATATCAACCTAAAATAATCAGATAGAAAAATCATGTAACTAGTTTGTCATTGTAAAGTCTGAAAAAATGTGTCTACATGTGTCCAGTGCAATATTTTTGTGGCAATTAACTTATGGGTTTGTAACAAAACATTGACTTACCGACTTCTTTTTGTGGAACTTATAAGATGCTGGCAGGTCGTATCTGAGCTCTGTGAGAGAAACAACAACGGTTGAGGACAAAAAACACCATATCACTATAAAGCTTATTACAACCTACAGGGTAGGGAGGATGTCCCGATCAGGTTTTTTGTGCCCCAGATCCGATCAGAGTCATTGAATATTGAATATCTGCCGATACCGAGTCTTGATCCAATATTTGTATATTCTTAGTGTTTGATGCACAATTCAAGTACATTAAAGTTATTAAAATCAATCCAATGTATACATAGAGAGAGTGTATCTTATATATGTATATACACACATATTACTTTTACTCTATGTAAAAAACTCACAAATACACATCTTATGGTTAAAAATGCATACAATGGAATGGATACAAATACAGTATAATGCTCACCAGCTATATGCGGACTGGTGGGATACTGCTCCAGGAGTATTTTGGGCTCCTCAAATCCATCAACCTGTTGAAGGCAGCTTTCTAGCTCTTTGAGCTTCATATCTACCTCAGATGATCAATTAATCCTGCTCATATCAGTCCGTGTTTTCATAGTTCATACTAATGTTAATCAGATCAGAAACGTCGACTGTTTCTCTCTTAACTGAAACGCCACATGATCATGATAACACGAGACTTCTAGTGATATAGTGACTTTCCTCAAGTAGAAAATTCACATTGGATCAGAAGGTAAACATGCAGTGCACTTACATGTGTGTTTTCCTCTTCTTCTACTTCTGCAAGCTTATCTTGTCAGCTGTGAGTGGTAGCGCCATCTGCTGGCTGATTACTGCCATGGCGCACATTTATCATATGTTGTGATTAGATAACATTTTATTCATATTAGTTAGTTTTTAACATTATAAAATTATGATTAACTGAACACAGGAAATTCCTTTTAAATCATTTTACTTGTTGCCTGTTTACTAACATGATAGCATGAAAAAAATGGCAATGTATTAAGAAATATTCTGGTGTTTCTTATTTTTATCTTTTTTTTTTATATACATTTTTTTAGATTATAATTTTTTAAATAGTAAAAAAAAAAAAAAAAGTGCCTAAAATGACTCCTGGCCCTACTGTAGTTCTGTCCAAATTCTAAACAGATAACAGTTACAGTTGCTGAATTTGGAATATAGCAATAATAACACACTACTAATACAAATATCAGATTGTGTGAATTGAAAACACTCCATCCTTTCATAAAATGACAGAAACTGGAATCATGATATTAGCTAAACAAATTTGGAGTTGACGTCCTTCCATGTGAACAGCTGCTAACTTTAGCCCTTTATAAATATCCTATTCATGCAAGTGTCTTATCATGTCTGAGCTTGACCACAACATATTTCCAAATTTTTTTTTTTTAATAAAATCGTAACAAAATCAGGAAATTATATATGAACAAACCACTGGGTAAAATCAGTCAGATGAATATATTTTTAATATAATTTAAGGAATTATATTTAAGAACACTTTAACACACCCTCTGTATTTTAGTGGCATATAAAGTTATCAGCGTAACTTCATTTAGCATGAAACCAAGATGCCTTACTTCTCTCTGTAATTTCTCCTCTGTTTTGTCGGAGAGAAGTGGAGACATTTGTGAAAGCATGTCATTGCCTGACCCAGAGCAGACTGATTTCTCAAAAGAAGTTTATGTACAAGTGTGAGAAAGCTATTTTTTCTGAATTAACTTTATTTGTACCTGTGAAGCAGAATCAGCACACAATAATTAGCTTTTTACATTTTTTAGAGTAAGAGGAAAACAACATGCCCTGAAACAAATGTAGGCAACAACTAAAATTTGACATACCATTCAAAAGTTTAGGGTCAGTAAGATTTTCTAAAAAGAACTGAATGCTATTTAGCAAGGGTGCATTAGATTGATCAAAGGTGACAGTAAAAACATTTATAATGTTACAAAAGATTTATATTTCTTTCTAACTGAATTAAATGGGGTATAAATACACAGACTAAAATGAGGAACTAAACTAGAAACAGCAGCTAGGAGTACAAGAGGCCCCAGTGAAGCCGAACAGAAGACTGATGACGGTGGAGCCGAAGGTTCGAAGGGCCGAGACAGAATCCTGGCCTCTGAGGGTCAAGATGGAGCCGAAAGGTCATGATTCCCAGTCTGCGTGGCTATGAATCCAAAGACCATTCTGAGCTATTCTGCTTGTCTGCCAAATGTATGCTTTATTAATAAGGTTTGTACTGAATTTGGTCCTACAATGTCACTGTTTTAATCAATTAAGCCACGTTAAGCATTTTAGAATGTCCCTATTGGTTTATGTGTTAGAATACCACATGTATTTCACAGAAGCATTTGAAGTGCATGTTCATCTATAGTCTAGACAGGGCAATTCAATATAGCTTCCAATACATGCAGGTCATGTGTTAGTATACCACATGTATTTCACAGAAGCATTTGAAGTGCATGTTCGTCTAGACAGGGCAATTCAATATAGCTTCCAATACATGCAGGTCACACATACGCCTTGTTTTTTTTTCCAGACAGGAAGTAGATGCATTTTTGCACATGCACAGTACAAATCGTGTTTCCGGGACAGATCGAGTAGTGACATGCACTATTCTATGCCGTTAAGTAGTATAAATAGTGCGAGTAGTGTGTTCACACTGAAAATTCCAAAAAGAGAAAATGCACTTTAAATACCTGGATGATGCACTTAAAGAACCGACAAAAATGTGTGTGGAATGTTGGACACTTTATGCACTCAACTGTCGCAGCTTTAATTATGTAGTGAAGGGGGAGGGGCTATGATTATGAATGACAAAATAACCTTATATAATTCATACACTACATGGTTGAGTACATAGTGCATAGTGCATAGTGTATAGTGTATAGTGTATAGGGACGCATCTTTAGTATTTTGTGTGTGTGTGTGTGTGTGTGTGTTGTGAAGCCCTGTGTGGACAAAATCATAGAGCCTTACTCCGTTCAGATGAAATTAAATAATGTTTTAGATAAACTCTTGCCAGCTTTTCTTGTGTTAATCAGCTATAGAATTTTCAATTCTCATAATTCATGGAACAAAATGTGAAAATTATTATTACATACAGTATTAACATATTAATAATACTTTTGTAACTTTTAATGCCTAGCCAAATAATTTTGAATACAGTATCCCAACATAAATTTAGACATTATCAAGCCTAACTCCACAGAAAATTGGTGACTACAATCTCCTTTACAGGTGTGCATTAAAATACGTTAATGTATAGGCAATCAAGGCAGTTGAGATAAACAAAATAAACTCACCTGGATTTTGTTAAAGGAGACATATTATGTCCCTTGTTACAATATGTAATATACCGTATTGGCCCGAATATAAGACGACCACCCCTTTTCCAGATGTACCTTTTGAAAAAAGGCTTTTTAAAAACCAAATCTTGTTTTTTCTCAGTAAAACACGTTTTATCTTCAATTATTTTCATATTGCATATATTATAATGTTTGTTTTGAAAGTGTGGTAAAAACAGGTAAAATGTACCAACAATCACATTTAAAAAATATACACTGTTTGATATACCATTAAAAAAAAAAAACAGGTAGCCCATCTGATTTAGGACATTTAGGCTATCCATCTAATAGTAGCCTACCAACATCTTATTAACAGTAGAAGTTCAATCTTACTGTAGTCTTCAAATCTGGGTAGTGTCTTACGTTTTAAAATCACAAAGGGAGTTTGGTCCCATCAGGCTAACGTGACAGTCACGACTCATGCAGCTGTAAGGCTTTCTTTTGTTTTTACTCACGATCTTTACAACACGCATTACATTACGTATTTCATGGCACACTCGTTTTATGCGTATTTGGCGTCACCTATTGTTGTGTGTGTATTATTGACATGTCAAAGTCTAGAGCCTGAATATAAGACGACCGCGTTTTTTCAGATGTATTTCCAAGAAAAAAACATCGTCTTATATTCGGGTCAGTACGGTAAGTCTCTGGTCTCCCCAGAATGTGTCTGTGAAGTTTCAGCTCAAAATACACCACAGATCATTTATTATATAATTTTGAAAATGCCTATTTTGAGTGGAAGCAAAACATGCTGTTTTCATGCCTGTCTTTTTAAATGCAAATGAGCTGCTGCTCCCCGCCCCCTTTTCCAGAATAGAGCTGTGCCATTACAGCTCTTACCTGCAAAAAAACATCTGTTTTGGTTCTGATTATCATGTTTATCGCGCTGAAATCATGCGTTTTAAACCATATGAGTTTAAACTTCTGCTAAACGGTTTTCTGAGTGCACACATCCGAAGCACACGGAGAACTGGACCAAGGATTTCTCCAAAAAAGTGTCTGCGAAGTGCCCATCTTCTCTCAGTTTGTCAAAAAGGTCTATCCAAAATTGCACACATTCACTTCGCAGAGTCAGCCACCATCTTTCGATGTGCTGGTTTCCAGAGCTTGGGCCAAAAGTATGGTCTGTTTCTGGTCGATCCTCAGAAGAAGTCAAAAATCTCTGCATCTCAGCCACTTTAATATTTTCTGTTCTTAAATCTAGCCTTACTCTAGCAGGACAACCCCCAGCTTTAATTGCTACATCCATGAAGTGTAAATCTTGGATCATTGTTGGTCTTGTATGCCTCAAGCCATATTATGCTCCTGGAAAATCCATCTATACATCCACTAATTCCAAATGGCTTCAGCTTATCATAGCCATCTACGTGCCACACAAAGTTAGGACCACTATGATACACACACGGCACCCCAGTCAATTTCTTGACCTCAAATTAACCCCTTCACCATCTAAAAGCCGGAGCAGAACTCGCACCGTTTCCCTATCAGTTACAATACCATTCAACCAACATTTTTGGTGCATCCATCTATAACCATGAGACTGGCCAGAGGTTTGAAATAGCTGTTCAATGAAAGCTGCCACCTCAGCCACATAGGTTTTGTTCTTTCTGCACCAAAGCTGGTTCTTGCTTAAAATCCTTTCAAGAGTGCGTTTGCTCAGAATTTCATCATTAGTCAAACCATGTTTAAAATACTCCTTAATTAGTCCTTAGTTCATTAGACCACTAGCCTGTGTAGTGTCGTGTCAAATGAGTTCGCAAGTCATAATTTAGTTTTAATTTCATAATTTTAACTTTTTAATCTCAGAATTTCAAATTTGTTAGTCATAATTTAATTTTTTTGAAAGTCATAATTTCAACTTTTTTATCTCGTAATGTCAAAATTTCGACTTTTTAACACATTGTTTTTTTTTCTTATGTGATGGAAATGGGCTTCCTTAGAAATGGGCTTCCATACAGTTAGGATCTAAGACACTACTAAGGGGTCTTATCTAAGACACTTTTTTTCTCCTACCTTGAAGGTATCTTTTTTTTTTTTTTTTTTCACGTTGCGGTTCAGGGCTTCCGTAATTTTTGACTACAGTGGAAAACATAGAGTGAGAAACCACATCCTGGACCCTTCTGGGAAAGAAGCAAAAAATAATAATTGTGCTTATCACAGGCCGGTGCATATACTTATTAGTATATATACTTCATTCTCTACCGATTCTTTGATTACTACCTAAACTCTAACCCTTCTTTTAGTCTTTTTTATGTATTAATATGGGGATTAACAGTACTCTCACCAGTGTTGTTTAATTCACACTCACAGAAGTAGGCACACTGATAATAGTTTAAACTGAGGTTAACACTGGTTAACACTGATAATGAGGTTAACCTGAGATTATGAGATGGACACAGCATTAAGAATTAGAGAAGAGTTTGTTTATGAAAAAAGACAGAAGTGAACTGTATTATGTTGCAAAAGCACCCTTTCCTGTTTCCATTTCTCAAGACTTTATCTATGCAAACCAGATTGATGAATGACATGTCACATGGACAGGTGCAATTTTATCTCGGTTAACACCTAGTCGATTGGCATACATTTCAAAAAGGTATATATATTTTTGATATAATTTAGAGAATAAAACCTAATACCACTTTTATACACTGTAAAAAAAGTCCCGTAAAAAAATGGTAAATAACAAACAAAAAACATAAAATTAAAGTAAAATATCATAATTGAAACTAGGAAAAATCTGTAAAATAATATTTTTCTCCCTGTAAAACCTTTAATGAATTTTTTTTTTAATTATTGTTTTTGCACTTTATTTCAATTAAGATATTTTACTTTTGAAAAACTGGTGCTGGCCCACCTGAAGGACATCACTGGACCCTTGCTGGATCCTCTTCAGTTTGCCTACAGAGCAAACAGGTCTGTGGACGATGCAGTTAACATGGGACTGCATTATGTTCTGCAACATCTAGACAGACCAGGGACTTATGTGAGGATCCTGTTCGTGGACTTCAGCTTATCTGTGTTTTTTGTTCTGTCACTGTCATTCTGTTACACTGTGGAAGCTTCTGTCACGAAAACAAATTCTTCGTATGTGTAAACATACCTGGCAATAAAGCTCATTCTGATTCTAAATTTTACAGTTTTTATTTGGCAGCCATAGCTGCCAGTCATTTACAAGTTTTTTTTTACAGTGCAGTTTTCCTATATTTTGCATATCTGTTTATGTGTATGAATGTTTTTAGGGTTGTGCCCTTTGAAGGAGGAAAACAGGTTGCTTCACTTCTCTCTGTTTTGTTGTCGAGAGGAAGTGAGACATTAGTGAAATCATGTCATTGCCTGACCCATAGCAGGCTGATTACTCAACAACAAAAAATGAATGTACAAGTGTGAGAAGCATTTTTTTCTGAAGCAGCTTTATTTACAAATGTGAAGACAAAACATAATTGGCTTTTTACATTATTTTAGAGTAAGAACAAAAAATAGCATGTCCTGAAACAAGCAACTAATAAAACCTTTAAATTTTTTTTTTTTGGCAATGGTAATGTTTCATGAGCAGCAAATCAGCATATTAGAATGATTTCTGAAGGATCATGTGACACTGAAGACTGGAGTAATGATGCTGAAACTTTAGTTTTGATCACAGGAATAAATGACAGCTTTAAACAATAAAATAGAAAACGTTTTTTATTGTAATAACATTTCACAACATTACTGTTTTACTGTATTTTTGATCAAATAAATGCAGCCTAGGTGAGCATAAGAGACTTTAAAAAAGATTTAAAAATCTTACCAACCTCAAACTTAAAAAAGAGAGAACGAAATTACAGGTAAAATTCAGATGAAAAATATACAAAGCAGAAAACCTCTACTTTCACCTATTACACTTTTCCAACAAAAACGGAAACCTCTGCAAAGTGTTTTTCACAGATCATTCTGATATGTACACGGCGTTCAAAAAGCATGAGCTCGGCATGTTGCCTCAAATTAAAGAAAAACATTTCAAGATCACTATCAGTAAAAAAGCTCGAGAAAGTCAAAGATACACAAGCACACTCTTATTTTACCACTTAAAAATGACAATTCTGCCATTATTGACCCAACCTCAAAACACTGCATTTTTATGACAGGGATGAGATAACAATTAGCATTTCTGGCTAAACTATTTCTTTAACAGAAGCAGAAGAGGGAGAATACATATCATTTTAATGTTATAAGAGGAATAGAGTTGACTACAGAGTCACTGACATCTGCCTAGTGCTTCCAGAGCTATAAACAGATCCCACTCGATATTTCGACATTGTGTTTCTCCTTAACAGGCCTTTCTTAAAGAGAGACGTCAAGAGCTGGTTGCGGAATTTCTTTCCAATGAAGGCATACAAGATGGGGTTTATCGCACAGTGGGCGAAAGCCAATGCCTGCGTGACGTACAAGGCTACGTCTATATGGTCTCTCAGCTTACACGTTTCCATCACCTGGCCGCCTCGCATCAGGCTGTCTATTAACTCTAGGATATTATTGGGCAGCCAGCAGACAATAAAAGCCAACACGACGAATAGGATGACCCGCATGGCCTTCTGCTTTTGGCTGGCTCGCGAGCGGCAAAGCGTGCAGATGGTGAAACCATAGCAGAACATCATGACGGCCAATGGCAGGAAGAATCCCAAAGTGTGGTGGAGAACCCGCCAACTCACTCTCCAGCTGTCCATGTTTTCCGCGGTCAAATTGTCATGGCATACATATTCCTCCATATAACTGGACTCAAAGGCCTCACGATTCATCATAATGGGCAGGGACAACAAAAAGGCACATAGCCACACCATCGCACACACTTTTCCCACCAGATGCTGTTTTTGGGTGAGAAATTGGGTTGCTTTCACGATGGCCAGGTAGCGATCGATACTAATACATGCCAGAAGAAAGACGCAGCAGTAAAATGTAACTTCCTGCAAGCCTGAAATCACTTTGCACATAACTGTGCCAAACATCCAGTGGCCGACGTGAAGGTATGTAGCCCAGAATGGGAGTGTCAAAGAAAAGAGCAGGTCGGCGATGGCCAGGTGCATCAGGTAAACGTCAGTTGACGTCCTGCGGTTCTCCATGCAACTCACCACGAATATCACCACCATGTTGCCTGGCAAGCTCAGACAGAAGACTATGGCGTAAACTAAGACCAAAACCGTGCTGTTCATATTCTGCATGTTTTCTGGGCAGGGAGTCACCAATTCAGGGTATATGAAATCTGGAGTAGTAGCTTCCATGTTTAAGACGTTTGACTTCCAACTGTAAGGGGAAAAAAATTATTAGAATCAGCATATTTAGATATAACGCACTCAAATGATTCACTACCTGTCAAAATGTTGGACATTCTGTACAGTATGTGTTAATCAATGTAATTTATGAAATGTAAATTTTTAATTTTGATTGGATTAGATAGATAATTCTCATATACATTATTTTACCATTTTAATGACTCTCTTAACTGCCTTCTGTAGAGTGTCTTATAACCAAATTAAGCTTGTTTCACACTGAAAAAAATTTTCAACTTAAAAAGTGTTTGTGCTGCCTGAAAATGTTAAGTTTAGTCAACTTGAAATGTTAAATTGTGCGGTAACACTTTACAATAACAGTACATGAATTATCATGTACTAATACCTGAATTAATAATTACTTGACTATGAAATAATGATGAGTTAAGATATGTATTAATCAAGAACTAATGAAGAACTAACTTAACTACGACATGAGTCATATGAACTACTGCATGAATAACACTACCGTAATTACATGTTAGTTCCTGCATGTTAGGTAATGTAGTAATTAACACTTTGGGGTAAACTAAATCAAACACGCTCTAGAAGCAAGATGTATGAAAATGGCACAATGTAAAATTGTTTATAAATTTGCCACCTGCAGTTGTCACAAACAACAGTGGATTTCTTGCAATATTTACGTTTAAACGAACTCGTCCAACACACAATGATGCATTCATAATTAAAAACAATTTCATCTCATTCTGTTTTGAGTGATTCCACTGCTGCCGTCCTACAATAACGTATTCATTAAGCAGGTGCAATTTTCCAGTAGTAGCTTCCATGTTTAAGACGTTTGACTTCCAACTGTAAGGGGAAAAAAATTATTAGAATCAGCATATTTAGATATAACGCACTCAAATGATTCACTACCTGTCAAAATGTTGGACATTCTGTACAGTATGTGTTAATCAATGTAATTTATGAAATGTAAATTTTTAATTTTGATTGGATTAGATAGATAATTCTCATATACATTATTTTACCATTTTAATGACTCTCTTAACTGCCTTCTGTAGAGTGTCTTATAACCAAATTAAGCTTGTTTCACACTGAAAAAAATTTTCAACTTAAAAAGTGTTTGTGCTGCCTGAAAATGTTAAGTTTAGTCAACTTGAAATGTTAAATTGTGCGGTAACACTTTACAATAACAGTACATGAACATAACATAAACAAAGCTATGACCATCATCTCCATGCTAACACTGATTTTAATTTGGAAAATTGCACCTGCTTAATGAATACGTTATTGTAGGACGGCAGCAGTGGAATCACTCAAAACAGAATGAGATGAAATTGTTTTTAATTATGAATGCATCATTGTGTGTTGGACGAGTTCGTTTAAACGTAAATATTGCAAGAAATCCACTGTTGTTTGTGACAACTGCAGGTGGCAAATTTATAAACAATTTTACATTGTGCCATTTTCATACATCTTGCTTCTAGAGCGTGTTTGATTTAGTTTACCCCAAAGTGTTAATTACTACATTACCTAACATGCAGGAACTAACATGTAATGAAGGTAGTGTTATTCATGCAGTAGTTCATATGACTCATGTCGTAGTTAAGTTAGTTCTTCATTAGTTCTTGATTAATACATATCTTAACTCATCATTAGTTCATAGTCAAGTAATTATTAATTCAGGTATTAGTACATGATAATTCATGTACTGTTATTGTAAAGTGATCTGAATCAACAATCAACTGACTTGGCCTGAAATTTGAAGTGAGTTCCCTTTGTAACACACAAACACACACTCACTGACATAAATTGAGCTGAATAATGACAATATTGTCTTTTTAGAGCTGCTTTACAGCTGAAATGGTTTTATAATTGAATAACTGCAACATTAGTTATTGTCTTGTTTATTACTGTCAATCTGCTTTGAAACAATATTGTAGACATAAAAGTGCTATATAAATATGACTTGACCTTTATTCTAAAAGTGCAAAATAACAATAATAAAGAATGAGTTGGTATGTCTAAACTTTTGACTGGTATAGTGTATACGCATAAATGCATAAATGTAAAAGTATACTTAAATAGTTCACATTAAGTCATATCGGCTAATCCATTAATCTTTAAATTCATTAAAAGCTGAACAAACTTTCAATACATTGATCAAAATTGTATTCTCTTACCGTTTTATTTTCTGTGATTTTACGGATTAACAGCGCTCAGGTCTGGCAGTCTAGGGTTTAGAGACCATTCAGTGAAAATTACTCAATGCTGACTGTTGATTTTCTGAGAGTGGTTTCATAAGATCTGATTATCACTAGGCGACCCTGTCTCTTTCCTTCCTGTGTGAATAATCAAAAACAATGTAGAGTAGAGATATTGTCAGTACTTTGGTTTCACCAGAGAGTCATCCAAAAACAACTGTACATTTATTTATTAATTATTTATTGAGGGCCGGCACCGCTGGGGGCCCCCTCACCATGCAGGATTATCCTGCCCCCTCACTCAAAATAAGTGTGAAAATAGAATTTGCTGATGCAATATAATAGGCTTTTGAAATATCACAATTGCCAAGTGTATAGACTTTCTAGCATTCATATTAGACTACTATAGCAACAATTTATTTAAGAACGGTCTGTTTCACAAAGTCACATTTTCATTAGCACATTTGACACACAAACTTCCTGCAAAGAATGCAGCTCAGTAGGCTAAAGGTATGATGATTTTTTTTTTCCATGTTTAGAGGGCTAGATAACTGATCAACTGTAGTTAGTTGATTATTTCACTGTATTGTTCTTGTTTGTCACTGGTTGCTGTTCTAATGTAGCATACCATAATGATCCACACCGATCAGGAGACCATGGCGGAGACTGTAACAACGAGAGAGCAGAGACAGACAACACAGACAGAACATTGGGGTTGATGGACAAGACTGAACGTTCAGGGGCAGCCTCCCTGGCTGGATCGGGACAAGACAAAAGTTCACAAACGGCCTCCATAACCGTGACAGGACAGTATGAGGATTCCCCGACGGCCTCCATAGCCATGACAGGACAAGCAAGGAGTTCGTAAACGGCCTCTATAGTCGTGACAGGACAGACAAAGAGTTCCCAGATGGCCTCCTTGGCCGGAACAGAATGGGCAGATCGTTCATCGGCGGCCTCCTTGGCCGGAACAGGACGAGCAGAGAGTTCATAGACGGCCTCCTTGGCCGGAACAGGACGAGCAGCAAACATTTGTGTGTCTTTTTTTATTGCTGAAGTGTGTTGAAATTTCTTCTTCTGCATTCTACTGTACTGACGTAAATTTACATTTCCTTCAGCCTGAGGCTTATTCATTTCCCTTTTGGTGTGAAAAGGCTTTTATATTTGCCAAAAATAGAACTTTTTTATTTGAAAAACAAATAAGCAAGCCCTGTGCAGATTTAAAAAGTAACGCAAAAGTAACGTAACGCATTACTTTCCATAAAAAGTAACTAAGTAACAAAATTAGTTGTTTTTTTATGGAGTAACCCAATATTGTAATGCATTACTTTTAAAAGTAACTTTCCCCAACACTGCCCTTAACTATGAACAGAAAATAATAAAGCTTACCGAAGCTTACTGGTTGAAAACGCAAAGGTAGCTGACAAAAAGGCCATGTCAAAAAAGTTTACAGCCAACCGCAGTGTTGCTCTCAGGAAACGGTGTAGATAAAAGTTTATCCCCGGGAGAAGCGTAGCTGTGGACATTCACTATACTAGATACACGAGAAGCACGCGGTGTCTCTCCTCCTTTCCTTTTATCTGTTGCTGATTTCATTTTCAAAGTTTTGAGAGGTAACTTCACAGTAAAATAAATGTAGATTCTAATATGTGTAGCACGATTATATATAGCGTAGTTTAGCTGTTAAAAGCAGATTTGTCAGCGGATCACTATATAAGTAGACTTAGCAGGATGCCATCTTGGATCCCCTCCCCTCTAGATGGATGTCTTTAAACATTGCACCCGAGTCTCACGTCTTTAGCAGCATCTTGCACATGACATTGTATTCTACAATGCAGCGCTCAAGTTAAAGGCATAGTTCACCCAAAAATGAAAATTACCCCATGATTTACTCACCTTCAAATCAAGCACAAATTAGCACAAAGTGAATGTACAGCGCTCTCTTCCACCTTCAATACCACTTGAGCAAGGCACCGAACCCCCAACTGCTCCCCGGGCGCCGCAGCAAAAAATGGCTGCCCACTGCTCCGGGTGTGTGTGTGTGTGTTCACTGTTGTGTGTGTGCACTTTGGATGGGATAAATGCAGAGCACTAATTCCGAGTATGGGTCCACCATACTTGGCCACATGTCACGTCGCTCACTCACTCACTTCAAGCCATCCTAGGTGTATATGACTTTCTTCTATATAATAATCAGAGTTATATTTAAATGTCCTGACTCTTCCAAGCTTTATAATGGCAGTGTATGTTGTTATTTTGAAGCCCAATAAAGTGCATCCATCCATCATAAAAAGAACTCCACATGGCTCCGGGGGGTTAATACAGGCCTTCTTGTAAAGAAAAACGTTGGAGGATAAGCCAAGAGGAGACTGATTTTCCTTTGCTGTAAACAAAACTTGGTTCTCGCGAGATTAGCATATTCTCACCGGACCTTATGCTACACCTACGTCATCCACTGGAACGCCACTCTCTCGTGAACGTGCGTATGACATAGAAAGCTAGAGATTACAGTTTATAAAGTTTTAAATATGGATATTTTTCTTACACAAACGCATCACTTTATTAACCTTGTCAGGCCTTTATTAACCCCCCGGAGCTGTGTGGAGTACTCTTTATAATGGGTGGATGCACTTTTTTGTTATTCTCATCGGCACTAATGATGTTTGACTTTGCCAGTCAGAGATCACTAAAAATAACATTAAAGAGGTGTGTGACCTTGCAAGTACGATGTCAGACACTGTAATATGCTCTGGTCCCCTCACCGTGGTGATGATATACATAGCAGACTGTCATCACTCAATGGTTGGATGTCGAAGTGGTGCCCGCAGAATAACATGGGTTTCATAGCCAATTGGATGAGTTTTTGGGGCAGACCTGACCTGTTGAAAAGAGATGGTCTTCATCCACCCTGGGGTGGTGCCGCTCTTCTGTCTAGAAATATGGCACATAGTTTTTAGAGTTTGTACTTGACTAACCCAGGTCAGGAAGCAGACAGACTGGCTAAACCGACCGTCTGCTAGCCGCCTCACATCACAGAAGTCAGTTAATTCTCAGCACATAGAGACTCTTTCACCTAGATATCACACTATAGAGACTGTGTCTGTTCCCCAAACTAGAAAATACAAAAAATGTCCAAACCAGTTTAATTGATGTTCAACAAATAATAAAAAAGCAGATATAATACAGATAAACAAATGATAACGCTTGGCTTAATGAATATTAGATCCCTTTCTACAAAAGTGCTTTTTGTAAATGATATGATCACAGACCATAACTTAGATGTGCTCTGTTTGACAGAAACTTGCTAAAACCAGATGATTACATTATTTTAAATGAGTCTACCCCCCAAGATAACTGTTATAAACATGAGCCGCATCCAAAAGGTAAAGGGGGAAGTGTATACAATTTATAGTAATATTTTCAGTATTTCTCAGAGGTCTGATTTCAAGTATAATGCGTTTGAAGTAATGGTGCTTTGTGTAGTAAGTGTTAATGATAAATCCCTATTGACATTTGTACTGACTACTGTATATAGGCCACCAGGGCACCATACAGACTTTATCAAAGGATTTGCAGATTTTCTGTTGATGCTGGCTGCAGATAAAATCTTAATTGTTGGCGATTTTAATATCCATGTAGACAGGGCCGTTTCTAGGCATAGGCGAGCTAGGCGGTCGTCTAGGGCGCCACCAGCTGAAGGGGCGCCAATGAGCGCACGTACTGGCACTTTTAGCTGGGTTGTGATAAAGAGTGGCACGGTCACCCTGAAATATGACCAGTACTTGGGCTAGAGTACTATCAATCTGACGATGCCTGTATGCCACTAGATCAGAGTGCTGTCAATTGCTGCCTGATTGTTGCATGCAAAGTTTGCATTTGGAGCGCTCAACAACGCCATTAGATCAGTGGGCTCTGTCAGTGCTTTGGCAAGGTAACACTTTTTTTTGCCATGCAATAAAGCTAAGTTCAAAGGCCAATTT